TACTTAACACAATCACAGATTACATGCTTCACAGAGAGATCAACATTACACGTATTGCATCGCGGCCTGGGATCACCCGTCAAAAGATATTGGTGCGTGACATTTGTGTGGCCTAATCTTAACCGATGTATCTTTATTTGTTCATCTCTACGAAAATCTTTCAGGTATAGTTTTTCCTTCACCGATAGTTTAACATGTGATAGGGATGTACTTTGTCTTTCCCATTTGCCTTGCCAGATTTCTATTATTTTTTGTTTAAGGTGACATTGTACGTCCGTCATTTTGACATGCTCCTCATCAATTCTTGGACCTGTTATTGCAATTTTCGCTGCTCTATCAACCATTTCATTTCCATTAATGCCAGAATGTCCAGGTACCCAAACAAAAACAGGTCTGACATTATGCTCACTCAGGTCCACCAAACAACCTTGGCATAAACGAGCCAGAGGATCTCTCGTGTATATATCTTTTACAGCATTTATGGCATTTAAAGAGTCGCTAACTATCAAATATGTTTTATTTGTAGGTTCTACGGGAATGTGTACCAGAGCCTTCCATAATGCAAACTGTTCCGCAGTATACACCGAGGTTATAGGGTTTAGGGCCCAGGAGTGGACCACACCATCAACTACCATGGCGGATCCCGCCCCTTGTTGGTTTTTCGAGCCATCAGTAAAGATAACCGTTTTATTTGTGTAGTTGTTAGCGATCTCCTCAAATAGACGTAAGTATTGTGGCTTTGTTGCTAAATTTCTGTTTAGATTCTTAAGGTCTAATTTTACTTTATTTTAGGTATCAACCACGGGTAGCAATTGTACTGGTTTTTCTGCACTAGGTGAGGTATTGTTTCGTGTAGTTCCCCCAGGATCTCTTTAAACCGTATCCCGAGCGGTCGTGGGATAGTTGGCCTGGCGTCAAAATCATTTCCGTCTGGAAATAGGAAAACATTGTTCGGGTGAGTGGGATCTGATTTTATTTTAACCATATAATTGATCATCAGCTGTTGTCTTCGCGTATCCAATGGAGGCAAGTTCGATTCACAATAAAGACTGTGTATAGGAGTGGTAGGAAACGCGCCTAAACAATACTTTATTCCAGTATTATGCACCCTATCTAATAGTAATAGCGACGATTTACGGGCTGATGCATATACAATCGCTCCATAGTCGATTTGCGACATAACTAAGGCCCGGTATACGTTTATTAGCATTTGCACCTCAGCACCCCATTTGGTACGCGATAATACCTTGATGATATTCATGGTTTTCATACATTTTGTTTTCAGGTGTTCAATATGCGCGTTCCACGTTAGTTTGCTATCAAACGTCAATCCCAGAAATTTTGTCGCTGTCACACACGCAACTGGTCTATTTCCGATATAGAGTGACGGATCATAATGTGGTCTGCGCAATTTACAAAAATGAACGCATTTAGTTTTTTCCCTGGAAAATTGGTATCCGATTTCACTTCCATTGCGCACAATGTTGTTGATCGCATTTTGCAGTTTAACGTTTATCTGGCCTACAGTGGCCCCGGAGCAATATATCGCCAAGTCATCAACATATAGAGCCCGAGAAACACCAGGCTCCACTCCGTACGCAATCTCGTTAATTGCAATCAAAAACAGTGTACAGCTCAGCGTGGAGCCTTGCGGTACACCGTTTTCCAGTCGTTGAACTTTTGACAAAGTGTTTCCTATCCGCACCCGGAAATATCTATCGGTCATAAACGATTTAATAAATTTAGGTAAGTTACCCCTCGCACCGTATTTGTGCAATTTATTTAATATTCCATGCCTCCAGGTCATATCGTAGGCTCCCTTTATATAAAAAAATACCGCTACGAGGTGTTGTCGTTTCCTGTGAGCTTCCCTTATCGAGTTCTCTAATTCGACTAGATGGTCTATTGTCGATCGGCCTTTTCTAAAACCTGCTTGGTAAGGCGCTATCAAGTTGTTCTTCTCAAGGTAAAATTGAAGCCTTTTGTTTACGATTTTTTCCAAAAGTTTACCTAAGCAGCAAGTCAAACTTATTGGTCGATAACTTGCGGCGTGTAATGGATTCTTTCCGGGTTTATGTATTGGAATTATAGTAGCCATCTTCCATTGTTCCGGATATACGCTGTGGCGCCATACGTCATTAAATAGCTCTAGTATAGATGACCTTATTTGAGTTGTGAGATGAACTAACATTTCGTTACTTACTTCATCAGGACCTGGAGCGGTGTTCTTAAGTTCTCCAATGGCTGAGTTTAGCTCATCCATGGTAAAAGGAACATTATACTCGAGATCATGATCCGTATCAAAGTCGAGAAGCACTTCACGTTCCGTTTTGTGTAGTGCAAATTGCAGGCTATAATTATCGTTGCTACTTGTGCTAGCAAAATGGCACGCAAGCATGGGCGTATATAAGTTGCTACCAGGGTTGCTACATATAAGTATGTAACAAAATTGGATGGGATTTACAACAAGCATTTTTTCCAAATAAAACAAGGGTCCATACCGTGTTTTGTTTGGAGCCCCGAGCCAGCATAAAAAAAGTGGGGAAATTTGCGCTTCTTCTTTACTTCTTTTTCTTAGTAAGTCTGGTCTGCGTCCGCTAATGCCCTCGTGTATTATTTTTTAATTCGGGAAACAGAAATAATGAAATAAATTAGATTTTAAACATTTGCGTAAAAATCGAATTTTTTGTTTAATAATTTCACGGCACCAGTAATTTTTTACTAACAAGCTAATTTATAATTTCATTAATTTCTCCCATTTCCCACAACAAAAATTACAAATGAACACATGATCTACAACAAATTTATTTACAATTTTGCTGTAAAATAATTAGGGAAGAAAATATTTCAATATAAAGAAATTAGCATTGAAATCCCTATGGTGCGTAATCCAATTCTACACTCTGTATAATAATGCCCGCATTTCAGCATATATCGTTGGACGTTTGTGCATATTTCCAACAAAATTTCGAACTCATAACCATTTTGACATCTCCTGGCTATATTTAGGCTCTTCTGTAGTCACTTTCCAAATTATTCCAAATCATTCGACCACCAACAATTTGTATCGGTTAGTTTTGTCTAAGAATTGGATTGGTATGCGGTGTATGAATGTTTTTTCAAAGTAGGTATTCTGGTTCGCTTTTGTCTTCGTTAGTTTTCGTTAGTACGATACTAGTCTTGTAGGGGGTAAGATGGCGAAGATATGGCATCGGCCGTCTAAACACATTTGGAAAATGTTGTATAGGTTTTAATTGAGGCACTTGTCTTTGATTTGACTTTAAGAGAGCAGTTGGGGATGTCTTGATGCCGCTTACGGAATTTGAACAATTACTTACGTCGATTTTTGTAGATTTGGAACCACTCGGTAATTTTTGTGTCCGGATATCACTACAACAAAGCGAATTAGCGAATTTAAATTGAACCATCCGCTTCTAGAAGCACCGTTATGATATTCCCCCACCTTCCTATCGTAGTCCAAAATCCAACGGGTAGGAACATTTGAGTTACTTTGGTTGCGATACATTTAGTGAAAAATGTTACTCAAGATTTGCCGTACACTCAATTTTACATATTTGCGCAGGTTCTACCAAAGAATCGCGAAACAACTATTGAGTAATTGTTGCTACATGTTTTTAGCAACGCTAGGCTTGAGTTTGAGTTTCGTATTTGTGGTACTTACTACTTTTAAGTTATTCAATAATATAACACGCACGAAATTTATGTTACAGTTACGCTCGAGGTTACGCTACTGTTACATATTTATGTTGGCTAGGTTCTTACAGCCATTTTTGGCTTGTAACAAAGGAGGGGGTTAGTCAAGTTGTATGCGTTGTGTTTGATTGGTAGTACTTGAGAGGATCCCTTAGGAATCTGAAGTTGTCGCCTGATCTTTTTAGCATCTCTACTATTGTAGACTTACAGCATCCCAAAAATGAGCGTATTGTAAATCACTCACCTTGTTTAACTTTTAATTTTTTTTTTTAATTTTTAACTTTAATCAAGGAATTACCAAATATCAAATTTAAACGTATCGTTAAAAAATTCCTAACTGAACATGGTTTTTCACCCTGGATGAATTTGAGGATATCTGAAACATACAAATATGTTAGATGTAATTTAGTAGTGTGATTTGGCGTTAATGTATTATTCTTTGTTTGTACTATTGTTTACTTGTTATGTTATTACACTTTTACATTTAAACCTTTTTTTGACATTTGTAAATGCTTTGCACCCTAACATGAATAAATAAATAATTCTATTTGCGTATTTTCTTCTGTTTCGGCAGATTTGTTTCTTATAAACCCTTACATTTCTTACACATATTTCCACTTTTGCATATTTTATATATACAGTGCGTTTATTTTACATTGGAACATACGATTTTGCATGTAATGGTGTTTCCTTATGTTCCATTACAAAAAAAATACATCAACCTTAGGATATGTGCGGTTCACAACTATACACACGTATTGGATAATGTGCGAGTCACAACTGAACCAGCCTTTAATAATTATTTTTAGGTTATGTACGTTGAAATGGAAGGTATTGGTTCATCAGGATACTGGACTACAAGTAAATTGCGGACTTGACTTGCACTGTTGTGACCTTTGTATAAATTTATAATTTCATCTTTTCATCTCTAGACAGTATTTTTGAAATTCATCTGTAGGGCGGTAGGGTTGAAGGTGACAGTTGTACATTGCACCCACTACCCATTTGAACTACTCCTATTAGGTTGACGCGTTTTTTTTAATAGAACATAAGGATATAATGTTACATGCAAAATCGTATGTTCCAGTTTAAGATAAACGCACTGTATATTGTAAACTTCAAAGCAAAAATTCAAGATTAATTTCCAAATACTAAGTACTATATAAAAGTAAGTAAGTATCATAAAACAGAAGAGACGACGCCAGTTTTGTTTTATTACGGCACTGCCAATGATGACGCGTTTCCCCCCACTCTCAATAAACAAGGTAAATAACGTTGAAAACTGTCACAAACAGTAATAAAAAATATCTGTCCATTGTCTTCTTAATCATATAAATCATTTATCCTATTCGCCAGATTTCATGGACGGCCCATAAAAGGTTTATTCTCAACCAATAAGGTGGTCAGTACAAAATGAGGGTATAACTCAATATCCTACAAAGTGTGTATTAGTGTATCGCCGTTGCACCCTATCCTAAGAGCAAACGTATCGGAACCAATAATATGAGATATCACATAGGTACTGAGCAACCAAGTTTTCTTCATTTGGTCTATATTATTATCAATTTTGGTATATTTAATACAACATACTATCCTTACAAACAGTCAGGGCGTACACAGGACGTGATTTTGGGAGTGCAAATACCACCCAAAACAACGCTCGTTTAGTATTTTACGGTAACTGGAAGAAATTGTGATGCAAAGTGAATGTCAATCAATTATAACAAGATATGAAGAATCGCATACGATTTTCAGTAGGGGAATTTTTTGTCACTCCACTCGTATTCGGAAACCAGACTTTTGATCCGGCTCATATTTAATAGCACTGATCCTATAACTCGTATTGGCGAGAACTACCTAAAATCTATTCCGCGTATGTAGCTAATGTAACTGGCATTAGCAGGAAATAAGTGACTCTTGTGTTAGCAATTTCTCGCTTTTTAGGAGAATTTTTCAAAACAAAAAAATCCCCTTATGTAATGGTTTTGTTCGTCTGTCCGCCTGTTATAGTCTACCCCGAGAACGAAAAGAGATAGCGATATCAAACTTTCCCCAATCCATTTCTACGAGTTAAAGGATCAGTGCTATTAAATATGAGCCGGATTAAAAGTCTGGTTCCCGAATGCGAACTGAGTGGCAAAAAATTCCCCTACTTAAAAACGTAGCGATTCTTCGTATGTTGTTTGTCGTTAACTTGGTTGTGAAAATCATAAGCTGTGGCTCCCTTATTTATTTTTGACAGGTCCTTTATATAATCAGTTCATGTTGGAAAATAGGTTGCTTTCTCTTGGTAAGGTGAATTTTCCACGTAAACGTTAAGGGCGCTTCGTGTCCACGTTGCCTTCGTTCGGCCTACTAATGTTAATTAGCCCTATAATTTGTATGGACGGATACCTCACTCACGCTCATCGGGATTCGAAAGCAAATACCCAATCCAAATGGTCGTCGAAATGCTACGGGTCAAAAATGCGCATGGCCAATGGTTGACATCAACAACAAACGTTTGGCATTGTACTAATGAATTAAGTAGATTTATTCAACGAGTCACATCAGAAATCTTTACGGATAGCTTCCTCGCCAAAATTATTTTCCTTCAGAGTTTGGACGGTATTTTTAAAACTACTTTCTTCCTACCGAAACGAGTTCATAAAATCGGTAAAAGTAACACATGGCCGATTTTTACCTCGTCCCAAAGTTATAAACAGAGTGTTCGATGACATATTAACGAAAACCATCTTGAAAAATATGACACTTTCATTTAATTTCATATCTATTGCCCAGGCTCAATCATCAATAGAGACTCTACAATTACAATTTCAGAAAATTTACACATTTATTAACAAATAACTTGACTATCTTTTTTCAGTCCTGATAAAGATAAGTAGGTTCACCTGGAATTAGGGTTGCACAATGCACAGTAATGACGCAATTTCTGCAATTCGCTCGAATTTTTTTATTTTTGATTGTGAGGGTCTACAAACCTGCTCCATAAGATTTCTTAAAATGCATTATACCCTTGTA